GCAACCAGTTATGGACCCTGCTCTTAACAGGAGCCAGGACTTTAGCCAGGTCACCAGAAAGGGCAGGGATTCTGTAAAGCTGCCGAAGCTTGCTGGTTCAGAAGCTCCCACAAGGCTTGCCTCTATACCCTGCCTCATGCCTATTCTGCCTTATTCCTGCCTACTTTGTACCTGCCCTGAATCTTGCCTGCCTACTTCGTAGCCTCCCTGCCCACCTTGACTCCTGCTGCCTGCTTGAGGAGGACTAGCACCTGTCAGCTGCAAAAAATGATACCTCCACACCACTCTATACCATCTCCAATTGTTTAAAGGAACGATAAACTCATTTAATTCTGTGCTACTGCATTGTTCAATGGATGTCTTTGCTGTAGGAAGAGATTGCCATTATTCTGTAACCCAATTTGAGGCTCAGTAAGAAACGTGGGCAATAAATAAAAAATAAATAAATATTTGGGGAAAGTGTCGTACTGTCTGATGTTTGTCTGAGTCTGTCTGCTACTGATGTGACTGTCAGACAATCAGCAGATCTTTTAAGGTGTACAGAAGGAGTGAGATGAACTGACCCGAGGTACACTTTGCAGGGAAGCTGCAGCTGCTGAAAAAAAATATATTCTTGCCTGGTGAACACATTTAATGTGGAATTCTCAGTACACCTAATCTTGCAGGATAACCTCAAAGCACTAGAAACCAGATGGAAGTAGTAATAGAGCCCCTCCAGAAGATCAGTACATTTTTTAGGTTTCTGAAGAGTATCATCATTAAATCACCCCCACCCCAGGGTTGCCTGTATTATGACTATGGCTGCCATCAATTCTACATACTTCAGGAGACTGACCTTGGGTTTCTCAATCAGCAAATTTACCTTGGCCCACAGCAACAACAACAAACAGCAAACAAAGAAGTCTTTCAGAAAGTAGTTCGTCATATGGCATGATGGCCTGTTTATAAAGAAATCAAAAATCCTAGTAGGCATACCCAAGTAGTTTTTCAGATACTTCCCTATATTTTTAGTAGGATTCTATCATGCTGTGTTCAGTAGTGAAATGTTAAAATAGCATTAAAACCATTAAGTTAATGCTGTATACCTAGTTGTCATTTTCCGAACTAAACACTACACAGCCATTTTAGCTTTCCTTGTCAAATTTATCATTAGAAAACAGCACATTAAATGTATTAGATTTTCTGCCAGCCACACAACTATATCATTAACCCAATCAACGTCTCTCTGAGAATCTGCAAGTTATATTATGCATTTTATTTATTTTGTAAGTTTCTGTTTTTAACACTAGAGTGGCTCAAATATCTAGCAGGGTGCTAGACAAACTAATCCCATATATATGAAACAGGCAAACTAATCCTATATATATATATATATGAATCAGAGAAACACCAGACTTTAAAGAAGAAATACTCCATAGCAAAAAACCCACAAACTTAGCAGGATGACTTGTAGCGCAAGTAGAACCACCATATTCCTTCTTAAAATGAAGAGACATACAATTACTTCTCTTAGTTTTCAGAACACAGAAGACGGCAATCTAGTCAGACTGTATCTTCTCCTCATCCTACATATATAATTCCCTTATGTATTAGCCATTTCCAGCTCTCCCACTGGCTGTGCAGTGCGCTCCATCAGCCATTGGCCCATCAACCGCCACTCAAGAGTACTCACATGCCATTGGCTGGGTGCTGGGTCTGCTCCTCTCCCCCGCCCACTGCCAGCTTGGCCAGTTTCCTGCCAGACCCAGGTTCTTGCTGTGGAAGCTGAGTGGATGATTTGGGACCAGTCACAGACTTTTAGCCTAACCTACCTCACAGGGCTGTTGTGCAGATCAAAAGCGGGAGAGGAGAATGATGTAAGCTGCTTTGGTCCCCATTGCAGAGAAAGACTGTACTTTTCCTCCTGGGACACCACTGTTGCCAATCTCCAGGTGAGGACTGGATATCACTCAGAATTACAACTGCTCTCCAGATGGCAGATATCAGTTCCCCTGGAGAAAATGGTGGACTCTGTGTCCTTATACTCTGCTGAGATGCCCCCCCCCAATGACAACCAGTGTGACGTAGCAGTCAGGGCTTCAGAACATGGTAGAGGCTGCGGGGGGGGGGGAGATGGAAAGCTGAACTCAGAGGGGCAGATAAAGGTAGGTTGATGATTGGCTAGGAAGGAGATATGGTTGCTGTGAGGTTCTTGCTTATCGGGGAGACAGTTTTACCTTTAAACATGCTTTGTGTACCTAAACTTGGTAGATTTCTGCTGTCACCAGGACTTAAAAATTCCAAATCTCTCTCTCTGCTGGTAGAATGACCTAGGGTCTGGGCACTTCAGAGGACTATGTGGCCCTGAGAAAGAACTGTACTGATTGCTGGGATAAGTTCTTGCCAAGTACTGAAAGCAGGAACAGTCATTCCATGAGTCCACGCTTTTTAACCCAATCACTGGGTGTATTACTTAGCTGAACAGGTAGTATACTCGGCGGTCCGCTCTTAACTAAATGAGAGCATAAGCAGAAGTCATCCCACCACTCTGACAGAGAAACCTGTTTTGAAAGCATACTTTTAAGATGTTTGCTTCACTAGATCTCTTACAGATCCTGCTCCCCCTATTTCAGCTTGATGCGTTTGAACCCACAATAGGAAACAGATGGACCACCCCTGTTTTGTCTCAGGTTGAATTCATGCAAAAAAGCAGACAAGTTGGTAAAACTTTTCTCGGGGGGGGGGGGTATTCTCAGCATACATAAAGCATCCATATTAGGGAAAAGGTTGGGATAGAAATCTAGCCTTCAGCAAGCAGGGAATTTCAGTGATGCAATTCTCCATCTGCAATAGCATAGGCCAGTAATAGTTCACTGCTTGATATGCTTATGAAAACTAGGCTGGAAGACTAAGCAGTTTTTGTTCTAAATGCAGAATGTTTCACAATGAAAATGTCTGAGAACTCTTGACCAATGCAGCCTTCTCACATGAAACGTCTCTACTATTAGTTAGCAAAGATCTTAAATGTAATGATGATAACAAATATGGACTATGCTACCATTGCACCTCTGTGATTCACTACTAGACCATCTACTTAATGTAGGAACCAGCTGCTGAGCTTTTAACTCACTGTACAGTGGCCTCAGTTCAGGTGTCCTGGACTAACCAGCATTTGTTTGTGAAAGGTCATGGACATGCCTGAATAATTTGAACAAACTCCAGTCTGGCTCACACCATTCCCTAAACAGACTCATGCCAAATCCCAGAGTTGTCATCTGAACTGAACACATACATTTCCTAACTAATGCACATTCAAAATGTTTCCTCTGAACACAAGCAATGGGTTACTTTTCCCCCTTTCAATTATATTTGTAAAAGGAAACAATGTGGTATGCATGCATGTTTGTTTCTTTAAAAGCTTTTCTGCAGCTGTAATACTTTTCTTCCTTCCAAATCTGTGGTTCATTTCTTTTCTTCCTTACAAAATCTGGGAATCATCAATTAGACATCTCACAGTGAAATCCTATGCAGCGTTACCTGCAGTATAATGTCATTGATTTCCAATTAGCTTAGATTCAAGTAACTCTCCACAGGATTGCACTGTCTGTGACCCACCTGCCACGAACTAGTTACATAAGATATATTACAGCTAAACATACATAAATTACTAAGCTTCTGTTAATGAAGCCACAATGTGCACAAAATAGAAGCTGTACGCCCCCCCCCAATGTATACTGAACCATTCAAATCTAAGCCTTTACCAAATATAGGGTTTCAGATTGTATCAGGAATGCTTAACAGTTCTGTAGACTATGTGAATATGTTGAAAGGCGACAATTTATTAAAGAAGTGGGAAATATCTCTTCCCATGAGCTAACAGTTATACAGAAAGGTTTCATTATCAGAAATGGCTAGATCAGTATGATTGCTTAAGACAAAGAATCTCACACATACACACCATGCTTCACCACCTGCAAGGGTAGAGAAACTGATCATCAGACAACAATTTCATGTATGCATTAAAACTCACAAGGGATACTTGTACAGAATGATGTGTCTGGAACATGCATGATCACAGAGATCTAGGATCTAAGTTAGACAGGCAGTACACTAAAATTACTATTTCTATTTACTTTTTCCTAAGGTGTTGGAGTAGATGCACTTTTCTGAACTACAGAAATAACAAAGAGATACTCCTTCAAAATTAGCCCCTTTGCATGCTAAAATCTTATATTTTTAATTTATTTGTTTATTGCAAACAAAGGACTAGATTAGAAGGAGCTTTGGCTATTTTGTCATTCATGTTGTTAACTTTAACTCTTGGGATTATGGAAATGTATACCCATAGGATTTAAGTCTGATCTCAGATTACAACAATTTTTTTGCCTCACTTCTTCAATGTTTCCCTTTCCCCCCAAAAGCCTTCTTGTCTATCAATCCTCTTTTTTTGTTCTGCTGCCAGCTCTGTACCCTACATGCGGCCTTCTATCCTCATTGCATCCTGACACCTTACCCTACCTTCCAATATGACTTCTTCAGCAATGCCTTCCACCATGCACACATCATACCCAGTCAAACTGACAATGCTCCCTTCCTGCATAGAAGCTGGACTATAACCTTCTTTAATCTCTGTGGTACAGGATATCCAAAATAATAATAATTTTGTGTTTCAACTCATTAGTTTACAAAAACAAACAATGGGTATAGTTAAGCATAAATTAGGAATTAAAAATATATATTGTTGTTTGCAGTTTAGTTTTCACATTTTTCCACATTTCTGCAAATTAAGGTATACTTTCCATGTACAACAAACCTCCGTTAAAGGTATGTAATTTAGCTTGTATATATCACAATGTAATAAATATTTTTTAAAATCTTCCCAAGATTCACTTCATTGGAATTAATCTTATGGTCAAACATCCCCCAAGCATTTATCCTTCCTAAGAAACTTTGATAAGAAAGGATAAATGTCAGGTAATATGACAGATATGGAGAAAAAGAGAAGTGAACAGATGACATACTCCTTAGTGAAGATTCCTCGAGGGCCTGAAGGACTGCTGTGACTCGCATCAAGTCCATGTTTCTCCAGAATATTGCGGGCTGCGGGGCTTAAACGAAAGCTAAAAAACAAAAGCAATGAATAGATTAAGAGGACATGTAGAAAAGATATCCAAGTTCAGTAAGAGAGTTTATGTCTTACTACAGGGGTCTTTTGGGGCCGGAGCGCGCCAGAGCACCGCTCCAGGAGCCCAGGAGCTGGCAAAATGGCAGTGGCAGCAAGCCCCGCCCCCAGCTCCCCTCCCGCTACGACCTGTCGCCGGTCTTCCAGGGCCCACGCTGAAGCGCCGCAGCCCCAGGGAGGCCCGAGGAGGCCTGTTGTTGCCTTCCCAGGGCCTGCACCAGAGTGCTGCGGCCCCGGGGACGCCTGTCGCCGCCTTCTCGGGGTCTGCGCCAGAGTGCTGCGGCTCGGAGGAGGCCAGAAGAGCCCCCACCGCCACCTCCCTGGGCCAGCGCCGGAGCGCTGCGGCCCGGAGGAGGCCAGGAGAGGGCCCCCCCGCTGCCTCCCTGGGCCAACGCCGGGTCTTACATAATGTAGGTAGACAGCAAGGCACGGTGTCTGATTGTGATTATATGCATATGTATGAATTTGTTACAATTAAGAAAAAAAACCTAGGGTGTCTGCATTTATCTCACTCTCTAAAACTCCCATTTCTCAACATGGTAAAGTGGATCATAGGAAAGATTAAAGACCCAACTCAGCTTCCAAAGCATTCAGTCCAACCCAGAACTGTGTATTGTACAAGTTTACTGTCATCCTCTTCTGAATGAGACTACATCTTACAAGCACAACTTAAACCTTCCTCCTGCTGCTATGAACAAGCATCTGTGGGGAGCAGCCCTTTGTTCAGTGGCGAAATGCTTGCATGTAGACATTCTGATTCCCCACACTTCCAGCTAAAAAGCTCTTAGTAGCAAGCCTGTGAAAGATTTCTTCCTTGAAATCTGGAGAACTGTTGACACTGTAGGCAAACAAGATGGACAACTAGGCTGACTCAATATCAAGCAGTTTCGTATGTTCAAATCCCAAACACATGATGTCTGAGAAATGAGTTCCATTAGAAATTCAACTCTTAGATGAAACCGCCACATCTTTTATAACATCCTTTGCTACATCCTTAACAATCCATTTCCTATCAAACAACCACGTCCTTACCTGAAAGAGGACTTGATGGAAAGTTTCCTTGATAATTAGTTGTTGTAGATTTTCCAGGCTGTATGGCCGTAGTCTTGGCATTGTAGTACCTGATGTTAAGCCAGCAGCTGTGACTGGCATCCTCAGAGGTATAACATAGAAAGATGGAGTACTCTTTCTGTGTTATACCTCTGAGGATGCCAGTCACAGCTGCTGGAAAAATGTCAGGTACTACAATGCCAAGACCATGGCCATACAGCCCGGAAAATCTACAACAAATGAACTCCAGCCATGAAAGCCTTTGATAACATATTTTTCCTTGGTAAGTTTAAATGAACGTGCAAGTTTTCTTTCCTGTGATTTGTCAGCCTCTAGAAGGTATTGCCTTGTGTCCATAACTCTGTGCACCTACCTGCTGCATCTAAACCTTATCCATGAATATTTCCTACATTTTATCCCACCCTTCCTCCAAGGAGCTCAGAGTAGCATACATGATTCTTTCCTCCTCCATTTAATTTTCCCAGTCACCCTGTGCAGTAAATCAGGCTGAGAGGGAATAACGGGTCTAAGGCTACCCAATGAGTTTCACGGCAACTAGGCACTGGAACCTGGATCTCCCCAGGCCTAGTCCATTTCACTCCTATTTGATCCCTCTGTCCATTCTGCAAACTTCTCAGGTGTCATACAAATGCCAAAGTAAAAGAACTATGAATGAATGAGCCTCATTTTCACCTAGAGAAAAGGCTGGCCTGGATTCAAAAGGTGCTGCTTGCTACATCTTGACTAAGGCTTTGTGTCCTCCTGACCAGGATTAATGACGGCAGGTTCCTGAATTCCTAATTTTCTTTCTTACAAAACGCCTGAAGCATGGCATTAGTCAAATGACGACTTGTCAGATTTGTCCTATAAAATGTACACTCATCCCAACCTGAGCCTCAATATCCTCTCTGTTCCTTTTCCACAAGCGTTGTGACACCATCTCATTTTAGACATGTCCTTGCTGTAGGTCAGCTGCTGACAGATGACACATTTATGCTAGCAATATCACTGAAATTAATGAGTTCAAATTTTCTGCCCAATGGACAGTGTTTAATTTTTCGGGGGGGGGGGGAGAACTGGAACTGGGCCTTTATAGTACCATCCACAGCCTCACAAGTGCATAGAGTTCCCCAACCACTAAAAATCTCTCTTCCACTTGTGCTCATCAGGTGGAATTCCACCACTATCTGGCAAAAGGCTAATGGGAACTTCTGTAAGTCACTCTGCAACCAAAGATTGTTGTTCCCAATCCTTTTTCATTTGTGATGGATATTCTTAGCATTAATCATCTGCATAGGGATCAAATTCAGCAGGTCATCTTCAGTGTTAATGGTGTTTTCATTCCAGTGCCATGTGGACAGTTTTAAAACAGACTTCATAAGAGCCAAAGCCTGCCTTCCTTTTTAACAAGTACTATATTTGCATGAAGAGGTGTAACAATATTCACTTAACTGTAACAGATTTAGAAGGAAATGCAATCAGTTCCCCATAAGTGTTAATACAAGGGGTATAACAAAATAATTATTAAGGTAGCTGAAAGCCTGCCTTGCTTTCCCCCATTTCCCACTGAATGCTTCCGTCTTGCAAGGATTTCTTACAGAGGGATTTTGGGCTATCATGCACTCAACTTTGTATCACCACTGAATTGCAATTGTTGCATCTAAGTAGCCTAAAACGGGGAATGAAAAAAACTAGCAAGGCTGGTTTCATTTTGCATCAATCATTCTATAGCTGCAACCTCTGTGTACTAATATTCTTTGGAATCTCAGCATTCACCCTAATCGTTTAAGATGTTTTAACAGATCTTGCTTAATTGCACTTAGATAATCTAAATGCTGACAACATTTTTTTTAAAAAACACTATTGTGGACAAACCAGCTATATGTCTGAGTAGGTATTCAAACACATTTTTCCAGCTAGTCACTGATATGTAATCATACAAAAAGAAAATCTTACTATTGTGGGTTGTTGGCACTGTATGTAGAGCCTATTCTCAGGATAAAAGGCTCCATTGTGTAAAAGGTTCTGCTTTTCTAGGGCTGCCAAATGCAGCCGGGGGGCGGGGAATCCCCCGTTTCGGAGCCCCGATTCCTGGCGCGCCGGAATCGGGGCCCGGGGGAAACCCCACCCCCGCGTGCGCGTCACCCGGAAGTGACGTCGCACGCTGGGGGCGGGGCCACGCCATTTGAGGGGAAAACTCTTTGTTTTCCCCTCAAATGGTGTGGCCCCGCCCAGCGTGTGACGTCACTTCTGGGGACGCTCCGGCGGCGCGCGCGCGCACACACGGAAGACTCCCAGACGGGAAGGAGCCTCCCCCGCCGGTGAGTCAAATCTATTTGGCAACCCTATGCTTTTCATACATCCATTTACTCTGTGAGTTGCTTTCTGAACTGATAGCATATCACACAAATAATAAAAAATGCTTTATAGTGAGTGGTAAATTAACCGAGCACCCTGTTTCCACAGAGCAGAAGTTGCTAGAATGTCTACTTCTAAATCCAAAGGGAAGGCAAACTGTAACCAGATCTATCGGGGGGGGGGGGGCAGTAATGGCAATGAGGGGGAAGCCAAAGTTACTTCTATTTGGAGACCTGAATAAAAGGATTTTAAATTATGGAAATAATAGCTGCTATAGAAATTATCACTGTAGCACATGTTTCACAATTCTCACTACAGCTTTTGAGATACAGGCTATGTGAAGACACAACTACTTGCTTTGCGGCTACACAGATTAGGATCATGAGGAAGTGGTGATCAGAACCTGGGGCTCCCATTCTCCAACATTCAGCTCTACTCCAGTGACATAAAACAAATACGAACCATTACGTCTTATGTGGGACTGAAAGGACTGGTTCATATAGGGTTGCCAAGTCCATCTTCCACCCCCAGCGGGAGACTTTGGGGGAGTTCCTGCAGGGGGCGGGGCATCCCGACATGATAAAGTCATGTTGGGGACATCGCCCCCCCCCCGCCCCTGTGCCGGATCTCCAGAAACGGCAGTTCCCTGCACTTAAAGGAGCCGGCGTTGCCCTTTTAAGTGCAGGAGCCGGCATTTCCCCTTTAAGAGCAGCCACGTTTCCCTTTTAAGAGCACGAAGCTGGCATTTCCCTGCAAGCTTGCGGAGATCTGGCTTGAGAGGAAACACGGGTTCCACACACTTAAAGGGAGAGAGATGGGTGGCTGTGGGTGTTGGGGGCGGGTAGAACCTCCCCCCAAAACGGGGGACCCCTGGCAAACCGGGGGGGTTGGCAACCCTAGGTTCATAATTAATACTGAAAACTCACTGTAGTTTTCCAGGCTGCTGTTCCATTTTTTTAGGCACAGGAGACACAGTGGCAGGAGAAGGGGCTGCCGCCGCTGCTGCTGGAGACAAGGAAGGTGCATCAGCTGTGTCACTTGGTATTTCAACTTGCTTCCAGTCTTCTCCCTCTTCTACCAGCAAGCCAATGATTGTGCCTAGACGTACATTTTTGCTTCCTTCTTCCTTCTAAATCACAAGGGGGAAAACCTGGCTATCATATTTATTTATACATACACATAATGCTGCCTAGGTTAAAAGAGGGGACACTTCAGACATGGTTTTAAATCTGTTAAGGAAACCGAGTTTTACTTTTGAAGTTAAAGTCGAAGAAAATGATAGAGGATATTTATTCCAAAAGCTATACCTATGACCTGTATCACTATCACTTGTACACCTCAAGTTAGCTATCCACATTATTGAAGCCAACAGACGCAGAAGAAGAAGAGATTGGATTTATACCCCGCCCTTCACTCGGAGTCTCAGAGCGGCTTACAAACTCCTTTCCCTTCCCCTCCCCACAACAGACACCCTGTGAGGTGGGTGGGGCTGAGAGAACTCTGACACAAACTGCTCTTTCAGGAACAGCTGTGCCAGAGCTTGTGACTGACCCAAGGTCACATCAGCAGGTGCAAGTGGAGGAGTGGGGAATCAAACCTGGTTCTCCCAGATTAGAGTCCACGCACTTAACCACTACACCAAACTGGCTCTACACCAAGCAGTGGCACAAATGACCCTGGAAAGAAAGTTATTTTAAACAACCAAAGACAAGGTGAACCAACATACATGCTAAGTGATCTTAGGATGTCCTTAATGATAATTGTCTTCAACAGGAATTTTGCAAGTGAGTCAGAAGTCAAAGAATATAGCAACTGGGCACTTTAAGATCGAAAAGCCAAGGCCACTTTGGGGGAGTTCAGACAGAGGTCTGGAGATGCAATAGAAACAAAGTTATGAATATCCCGAGCTTGAAGAAAGCTGGGAGAAGTCAGGAGGAAGTCTCCTGATTGGTAAAGGGAAGGACATGATGTAGGGAGGGGAAAGCACGTCATGGAAGCCCAGTGAGGAGAGCAGTAAAGGGGCATGGTAGAAAGGTGCCAGCTTCAGGTATAAAATTCATTAATTCTTTCCAAGCTTTGACTTGGATCCTAAGGCAATGTTTTGTCAATGCTGCAGCAGCTCTTCTGACAGAACACTTTTGTTTGTTTGTTTAGGTGCCTCCACCACCCCACCACCACCCCACTGCTACAGACTCACAATTTGCTTCAGATGGACAGGAGCACCACTGGGGGGAGGGACAGAAAGCTACAGTGAAAGGGGAGAGACAGGGAATGTGCCTTGCTTTAGCACAAGTCCTCTTGAACTACTTAGGATCCAAGCCAGGGATTCTTTTGTTCAACAAGACCAGGCATTAGACTGAAATGCTTGGAACAATACTTGCAGAGCTGGCCACACGATCGGTTCAGTCTGCTCCAGCTTCTCCTTTATGCCAGGCTTCACTTTCCACAAGTGACATCTTGATAAGATAAGACATGATCTCTGACTATGCAGCATGCTCCTGCCTATTCTGATCGACCTTTAACTCTTTTCTCCTGCACATACCCCTACCAATGCTTGCACACTATTCTAAGCAAAGACTTGCAGAATTTTCTTGAGTTTAGCAGAACAGGTGGTCTGGACACAGGCTGAGGGGAAGGGACTCACACTAAAAAGGTGAAGGCAGAAGTCTCATGCCAACAATTCTCCACTACTGGAAGTGATTAAAAATGTTAATGCAACACAAGGCCAAAGAGTCAAAGCAAAGTAGGCCTTGTCTTCTGAATTGAATAGCAATCACCTGATGCTAAAACTGGGCAACTGATTGTCCTGATCCTCCCTGTGACATTAAGAGAGAAGATTATACCTGGTTTTGTCTTACTATCCATATCAGCTATTAGCTCTAATCAGGGGAAAGTTGCAAGCTACATATTAGATACAAAACTTCCAGAAATTTTGAATCCATGGCAGAAAACCAACCCAATGTTTGGTTTTCCTTCCAACATGCAGTTTTCTTGATGGTTTTTAGTCAATGTTCTAAGATTCTAGGCTGCTTGTAATAAACTAAATTACCAAACAAGAAGTAAAAAAAGGAGGAGGGGGAAAGAGAAAATAGAGCCAGGCTTCCCCTAGGTTTCTGGTCTGTCTGTTTATCAGACAAGATTTGTGTTTTTCTTGTTTGCTAGATATGGTAGCCATTCTAAGCAGGAGTGCCCAGAGGAAGAAGCTTAACAGGCTTCCATGCGCAAAAGACACTGGGATGAACCCAAACAACCAAGACCAGGAGAAAAATAGCCACTGTTTAACAAGTTCTTTTACACAAGTATAGCATGCTATTATAAACAGCAGGCTCTACAAGCTGTTTTTATGCTTCCATTTGTTCAATAGGTTTAAAAGGTCCTCCTCAACTGGAAGCAGGTTTAGGTTCACTTTTCTCATGCAAAGTTTGAGCCCAAGGCATAAAACAGTCATTCCACGAGCTGAAACTCCCTTTTGCATGTGGAAGGGCATCTCTGGATCCAACTCCACATGTTCTGTCTACAAGAAAAGCAGGACAGATAAAATCCATCCTTTAATTAAGAATCTCATTACAAATCTCATTACAAACAGTACACATCTTATGTTGCCAAAGATGTTATATCTTAATAAAATGGTAGCCCTGTTATTCCATATTTCCAGCAGAGGCTTTTTGTGTGTGCTGAGTTTCTTCCTTAACTAGTCAAGCTGGTATCTTAGAAGTCATTTGCAAAAAAAAAAAGGGGGGGGAGAGCATAAACACAAAGAATCAGCTGACTGCAAATTCAACATCAGAATCAGTGATGTGACATGAATATACATAAGGGACTGCAAATCATGACAGGGCCTTAATGGGATTTTAATGAGCAACTTTAGCATTCTTCGTAATAGACTTTTAAAGGCCACCTTAGTGTAAGATATGCTGACAAAGGGCTTTTGCACATTGCTTGGTTAGCTGTTATCTACTCAGCTCCCTTCTCCCGCAACATCATAAAGAGGTAGCTATAACAAAGAATGATAAAACCACAAGTAACATTGAAACACTTTGCAGCTCTTCTAATCTGAACCATATTATAACAACCAATGATACAAAAAAGTCATTTTTTTCCTAACAGCAATAATGTGGTGTGAAAACACAATTACTACAAGATGTACACCTACTTCTAATAAAATATGTTGCTACCATGACAATGTTATCCTGTTGGCCTTACGGGTTAGTGGAGAGTTGGAACCCAGGTCTCCGCAGTTATTGGATACTCTCTAACCACTACATCATAATTATACTCCTACCTGTAGTTCAGTCATCCACTGACTGAGAAGGATCTGTTGAAATTATTGGAGAAAGATACTGCACTGGATGAAAACAGACATATTCTCAACTTCATCAACACAGTGACCTTTTTGGATGATTCTACTTAAAGTTCTCCATATTCACTATGTACCAGACTGCTTACTGTGAGTCTGCAGATGCACATACATATCACTGGTTTAATTAATGCAGCCACTAGTAAGCCCATTTCCACAGTGTGTTATCATTTCCCAGTACTGCCAACTGGCTACTTTTTGTTTTAAGCCACTGTTAGTGTACTATATATTTAGTCAAAATGTGGTACATTTGGAGATCTTATATAAGGAAATGCTTTTGCCAATACATTCTAACAAATTAAGAGGGGAAAAACAGTCCTTGTAGTTAAAAATGTATTAACAGCAGCAGGGTTTATGTACTGCATGAAACAGATTTACATGTGCACATATGTATGCATTTTTGAAATATCATGCAAAGGAGATAGAGTAGAGACTTTACTGCCTGGTTGAGCTATCATTGCAGAAAGTCATAACATACCATTATTTTAGCCAAGATGCCATCGTCACTCGACTCCATGGTAACAACTGCTTTGTCTGTTTCAATGTCACACAATGCATCTCCAACATTCACAGTTTCTCCTATAAAATGAAAAGATCCATAAAAGTAATATTGAACTATTTACTATATATACTAATCTCAGACTGAAAAATGCTGGACCAGTATGACCACAGATGCCTGAGAACAGCAAAGGACCAGAGCATGGCAGAAAAGGGTATAAGTGTCCAGAGATGACGGCTGATTACCGCACAATCTGAGGCACCCTGACTCGGTAATAAGCAAGATTCATGTGATTGTTTCTTTGGAGCTTCTAAAAAGGGCTTTCTGATAGCTAGCATTTTAATTTGAAAATGTGTTCAGAGATGAGCAGCCCTCCCCCACCACAACTCCCTCACAAATGAGAACAAATTTGAGGCATCTCTGTAAGCGTATTTCTTTTTTAGTACCTCTTCAACTGAACCAAGGAATTCTTTTTGAAATAGAAACCTGTGTAAGGTAGAATACAGTTTCTATACACAGTACACCTCTCTAAAGTGGAATCATTGTAACAAGCATTTTTGTCCAATTTTAATATCATATTTGCATCTGCTGCCTTGTGATAACAGACCTATGAACCCAAAAGCTTTTGTCAAGCAAAGATGGACGCCATTGGCCGGATGTTTGCAGGATTACAGTGGAAAGATTCCTGAATGGTTCTGGGGCCAAGACAACTGAATACACACGTTTTCTTTACAGGGCACTAAGGCAACAAAAAGCCTGCTTATATAGCAGGCTTGTATGCAATGCAGTTTTTTGTTAAAATATGAAAAAGGCTTTTAACAGTTTTGCCTAAAGGAAGGAAATAAAGTAATTCATCTAAGCCCTAAATTGGATTTGTTTTTGCTTTCTTTATGAAACGGTTGAACACTGAGCAATAACAGTAGAAATTTGCAATAACTCTGTCACTGAAATGACACACAGCTTTGTCATGGCTTTCTGTATTATGCTTATAAAAAAACAAACAGATGAAACTGAGAGAAACTTCGATGTATGTAACTTGGTTGCCTTTAGCAACAAGGAAACAGCTGCCACATGCCAACTCCATTCAAACCAATATTTGGTCTCTGCAAATATTGGACTTGAAAAGAATGAATAAAAGGCTATTTATTTGTCCAATAAGCACCTGTAAGAAAAATTCTTTTTATTAAAACCCAAGGAACTGAATAGATAAGACACCTATATTTTAATTCAGAGACTTTCCCTGGATTCTAAGGTACTAGGCTCTTGGATCATAATAGAAGCTCAACAGGATCATAATGTCAAAGCTCCATAGAACAAATATATCATGGCTCCTTTTTGAAATATAGATAAATTAGATAAGGTATTCACACTCTTTAATTTAGAGGTATTCGCAGCTCTTAAGCCAAAGATTTAAAGCGACTTTATAAGACAGGTCAAAAGTATATACTAAATAAGATTTATTTAAAAATTGTCAGCTCCATTAATAAACTCAAAGAATTTCACAACATGTGTAAAATGCATCTGAACCCAACTTAAACAGAAAAAGAAAAGAACATAACCTTTCAGATTAAAACGAACAAAAAACACTTGGTAAGTATAATCCCCAAGTATCAACAAGGACTGACCCAAGAATTTTGGGCACCTAGACTAAGGCACCCGAGCAGCTCCCTGGTTCCATGAGAGAGGTTGGGTGTGAGGAGATCGCCTCGCACTACAGCTAACTTATAGCCATTCTAGGTGTTTTTCCACCACCTCAAGTACTCTCATGAAGAGAGAGTCAAGGCAGGGAGAGCGTCTCAAATTCCAGAAGGACTTGCAAAACTCCTGGAAGATGTAGAAATCTCTGAAGCAGGGGGCTATAGGAGGCTCGACACCCAGAAGACGCCGAGCAAAAGTGGAGCCCAGCAAGAGCCGACGGAGTCGAAACATATAGAGAAAAAGAACTATACCAACAAAATACCGAAGCTAAGCGTTAAATCTAATAAATTTTTACTGTTGCTACTTAGTCAAAAAAATAAGTATTAAAGGGGCAAAGAGCCAGTTCTAAAACAAGCCATGCAGCAGAAAGAGGGAAGAAACCGGCTATTAGATAGTATAAATGCGGACATAATCGGGAAAGGCAAGAGAAAGAAAGAGGAAAAGGTATAAAGCTTTAAAACTTTATTTGGTAAAATAAACCTCTCAATATAAGCTTTGTGTTCGAGGTGAAGGGGAAGGGGAAGGAAGAGTGCCGCTTTAAGAAACCCGAGAGCCATTTTGTGTGGAGGTGACGAGTCAGATTCGGGAGACAGCGTAGCAACGGACGATCGAGAGCCAGCTGGGAGGAGCGGCATCTGGGAGCTGCCGAGAAGGAAGGAGGAACCCAGTGACATGGCGCGTGACGACAAGAGAGGAGGAGACAAAGCGGAACAGCGAGACGGCGACGTAAACAAGGAGAAAAGGGGGACTGAAATGTGGCAGGACAAGGAGGAAAAAGGTTCCGGGTGAAGGCACGAGACTACAGCGACCCGGAAGTGGCAGGACAGAGACACGAGAAATAATAACTGGAGCTTAATAAATTAAAGAAAACTGCATAAATAAAGGGGGAGGGGAGAGGAATTAAGGAAAAGAGAAGGGGAAAGGAGAATAAGGTAGCTTTCAGATAGATAGAACATAGAGAGAACCGTGGACGGGAAATAGACAGATACAAAGAAAGGTGAAGTGGAAAGTAGAAAATCAGGAATATACTAATAATTTGGATAAGATCCCAAGAATTAAGAGAACTCAAGTTGAAGTAATAGACGTAATATAGAATATAAAATAAGTAAAGTAGAGGACAGTAAAATACACCACCTAGGCCAGTGATGGCGAACCTTTTAGAGACCAAGTGCCCAAACTGCGACCCAAAACCCACTTATTTATCGCAAAGTGTCAACACGGCAATTTACACTGAATACTGAGGTTTTACTTTAGAAAAAACAACTTATACATTAACTTAAGAAGATCCAAACAAAGCAAGGAAAGCAATCCCAAATGCTTTCATTTACTTAAAAGTATTTGGCAGAGAATTCGACACTTTAATGATGGCCTGGGCCAGGCTGGGGCGATGGCACACGTGCCCACAGAGAGGGCTCTGAGTGCCACCTCTGACCTAGGCCTTTGTTGTTGTTGTTGTTCAGTCGCACAGTTGAGTCCAACTTTCACAACCCCATGGACCACATCATGCCAGGCCCGCCTGTCTTCCGCCGTCCTCTGGAGTTTGCTCAATTTCATGTTCGTTGCATCTGTAACACTGTCTAACCATTTCATACTTTGCTGTCCCGTTCTTCTTCTACCTTCAATCATCAGGGTCTTCTCCAGTGAGTGCTCCCTTCTCATTTGGTGGCCAAAGTATTTGAGTTTCAGCTTCAGTATCTGGCCTTCCAGGGAACAGTCAGGTTTGATTTCTTTTAGGATTGACTGATTTGATCTCCTTGCAGTCGAAGGGACTCTCAAGAGTCTTCTCCAGCACCATGATTTGAAAGCATCTATTTTTCGGTATTTGGCCTTCCTTATGGTCCAACTCTCGCAGCCATACATTACTACCGGGAAGCTGCTGCCTGCCCTTCTCATTTCCCAGTAGTGCGGTGACACATGCCTCCCTCACCCTAGAGGGCGGGATGCCATCGCCCCCCTCCTCACCTCTCCACACACAGTCAGGTGAGGCAGGTACCTCCCTGGACAGATCCTGATGCCAGAGTCAGGCTATTTGATGGCCCTCTGCCTAGTGGATGAGCCACCCTGGTATCAATAAGATTCAACTTGGTACTGTGAGAAGCTAAATGCCAAGTATTCATGGCTAGCTTTTGGACACAAATGATCACTTACACTTTGTTACACTTAATAATTTTTTCCTTTCCTCAAATAAGAATTTTCTGACTATTATGAATAGCAGGCAGAAATCTAGGTTGGTGATCAGCAGTGTCTCCCAGAGAAGCTCTTCATCAATGTGCTTTGGAAATAGCCTTAACATTTTAGAAAGCAGCAGTCAGTCAGTCTTTCAGCATGGTCACATATTTCTGAATTACACAGGTGAGGAAAGAAGAATTATCAGCAGTTTCACCAGCACTGAAGCATGATGTTCTTCAGAAAAAAAAGTTGTCAGTGGCTTTTCATTGTTCACACTTATGGAGTAAGAATCTGGCACCAGCGTAGAATAAAATAACAGGTCTACAAACAGGAGGGAGCAATCTCTTATTTTCATGGATGGGAACAATTATGCCCAAATTTCAATGAAAGCATAGGATTCCAGTCAGATCAGTGAAATAAATGACTTAAAATAACTGGAATCTCCCATTCTGAGTAGTGTTAAAGACCTCTCTAGCAATACCCTCTTCCCCCGGGGGCTAAGACAAACACTCAACAGTCATGTGGGTTTTCCATAAAATTTAGAATCTGAAAATTTTCTGGAAAATCATTCTGTAATTTAAATATTATCTTCAAACCAATTCAAAGTTTTATGAAAAATTATATTGATTATAATAATGCTTGTAAAACGTTAAAAACAATTTAGTAGATACTTCCCTTATGCTGTTTAAATTTAAGAAAAAATCCAAACGCACTGAAAACCGTTGATACAGATTTTAGCCCACCCAAAAAACCATATATAAGATGCTGTAGACAATTGTCCATTCATATTCCAACTAAATTTAACTCTTTTCCATGTAGGTCAATGACAGTGCAATCCTAATAACAGTGGCTATACACTATAAAAGTCAACATCAGCCTGAGCATGGAACAACTCAAAGAAACAGTACAAGATTGGAAAATGTGGAGAGAGCTGGCCCATAGAATCGCCAAGAGTCCGACATGACTGAATGGCTAACAACAACAAGACCACTGCGATATTGGTTAGGTCCTCAACAGACTGGCGATTACAATACCCCTTTCACTAAAAAATCCCTTTCACTAAAACCCTTTCGTTTTTTAAAAAATAATGTAATGAACATTCTCCCACAGATCTAAAGTTTAGACCACTGGATAATATTTCTCTCCCTTTTTCAATTAAGGTTTCCTTTTTAAAAAAAAAAGAAATTAGTTGAACAGTACTGACTTAATAAAAAGAAGAATTATGTATGGGTGACAAGAACGCAAAAGAGCAGTGGATGATGAATAATATCCCAAAATATCATTTTATGAAAGTTAGTCATTGTGTGTGTGTGTGGGGGGGGTAAAGTAAGCCTTTCCTAATTTAGAGAGTACATTAGGAACCTGATATATTTTTGAAAAAATCATTAGTACTAAAGATAGGTGTTATTAAATTATTAATTAATAGCGACAGTCTGGAATCCTTGAGAAACTACTGTGTCAAAATGTCCAAAAAATTAATTCTGAGAAACTCTCAAAAGCCATGTTGGACTCTATTCTTCATCCCTGCTCTATAGGGTTGCCAGGTCCTCCCTGGCAACTAGCAGGGGATGGAGGGGGGGGTTTACTGGGAGCAGCAGGGAGGCCCATCTGACATACAGCAACTTGTCCATGTCACTGCCCATGCGACCCGGAACTGATGTCATCATGTCCAGAATGCTGGGGAGACGCTCTGGTATTCAGGCAAAAACTCTATGGTAAATCTGGCTTTTACCAGAGCATCACCCTGACATCCCAGATGTGATGATGTCACTTCTCGGTTACATAGGCAGTGATGTCCACACATTGCTGCATGTCAGATGGATTTCCATCTTTTGGGGGGTGTTCCCCCCCTGCCAGCCAGCTGATCAGTGGCTGGGAGGTGGGGCCTGGTAGTGGGGGAACCCCACCTCCACTAGGGGGTCTGAGAGCACCCCTTTCAGCCACTGAGACCTGGTCTACACATGCAGCAGCATGAAGTGTTAAAGCGGTGGCAGAATCCTGTGGTGACAGAAGCACCTCATCAAAGTGAATGACATTTGTTTCAGTGCTTCCCTACATAGAAAACCTTATACAGAAAACGAGCACAGCAGGGAGCAGGTTAGAATGCAACCTTTTGCACTGCTTGGCTCTTTTTCTATTTGCATGGAGATTTTCTAACACAGGAAGATTTCAAAGATGGCATCCCCAATTTCCATACTGAAGAAGTACAATCCACTCTAATGTTTTAAAATGCTTTCCCTTATTCTAGTCTAATACATGCATAGACCAACCATCAGTTAGCTTTTGTAGAACAAATATATTAATTAAAAATCCAAATCAGACCCTTAGGCCTGAAAAAGCCAGGCATGCGGCCATAATACTTCTGGCCACTAAGAGTTCTCTGCAACTGGAGACTTGCACCCAGAGCCAAAAGGAAGTCCACCAGGCAGAACTGAAAGTACACGTAACAAAGCTTGAAGATAATATTAGTTTGCCCTGCCATCAGATCTCAGAAAGCATGGCTTTAGCAGTTATAAGAAAGGGCAAGTAAGACACAAGGAAGAATTGAGATTTCTTAAGCCTCTGCAAACAAACAGAACACCAAGAAACACATGAGCCCTGGAAAATACACTGCCTGGTTGGAAGGGAAATAGGGAAATCAATATGTTTAAAAGCTGTATCAACCAATATATGGACTTTTCTCCTGAAGTACAAATGGGCAACCTGATTTTAAAAGCAGTTTCTTTTGGAAATTTCACTTAGTTGAAAATCAATCCACCCTGGTAACGATCGCAGAGAATTAACGGGCTGCTAGCAATTTTTCTACATATGGTAATTATGGTAACTCTTTTTGATGGGATGGACAATGTAGAGCAGACTGATCTGAAAGTAAAAAAATGTGACATTCTCAATGTTCACAAGTAGCATTAAGTAGTTCAGATCACCTTCCTGTTTCAGCCATTTCACTATGCTTCCTTCTTCCATGGTGGGTGAAAGTGCAGGCATGAGGATTTTAACAGCAGGGGTACCTGGAAGAAAAAAGAAAAGTAACCTTGAAAACAGTATTGTGTCATTATCTCAGGGTAATATTGTAATGAACAGACAAAAGATAAGCATGGCTTCTCAGAAGAAAGTCCCACTACATTCTATCAGATAAGAATGCAGAGATTACACATGCAGTTGCTGAGTTCTGTGCATTGATTCTTAGATTGCGGAAGTCGCATTTCAAAAGTTTTGAAATTTGGATTTTTACTTTGTATATTATCTCCCCCCCCCTTTCTTATATTATATTTATATTGTATGCTGGTCTTAAGATCATCATCATAATAAAACTAAACTAACTAAACCCACTACATTCAATTAAATATTTATTTTCTACATATAAACACACATAGGATAGCCCTCCGTCCTTAAGCCATGATCCTATGTACACTTGCACAAGAGTGAGGTCCCCTTCTGGATACTTGGGGGTGGAACCTGATTCCTGGATATTTGGGGGTGGAACCTGAAGAAGGAAGGGTCTGGGGAGGGAAGGGATTTCAGTACGGTATAATTAGGGCTGCCAAATGTGGGCGGGGTGCCTACGTCACTTCTGGGTCATGTGCACGCGGCACGCGCGCTTTGCACGCGAGCACACCCCCGACGCCGGCCGGGAGCCCCCCGCTAAGACAAATTTGGCAACCCTAGGTATAATGCCATAGATTCTACCCTCCAAAGCAGCCATGTTCTTCAGGGGAACTGATCTTTGCAGTCTGGAAACTAGTTATAATTCCAGGGGATCTCCATACTCCACCTGAAGGTTAACATTTCTGGCTGGGAGGGCGTAGTATAAATCTGATAATAAAATAAAATAAATAAAATTTTAAAAATCTACAATGAACTCAGTGAAATTTACTTCTGGGTATCTATAAAGATTGGATGGCAAGATATATCACATTTGTGTAGCCAGAAGGGCAGGTTAAATTGCCCTTGTGGGGAAGTTGATTCACCTCAAGTCTAACTTGAAATCTGTGGTGGCACAAAATTGCTGCATGGTATTCTGCAAAGTGAATGGAAAGGCAAGTTATTCACATATATTTAATTCAGACCACTTAGGTCCAATTACCTAGGCCATGACATATATTTTACCCAACAATTCCTTTGACAACTGTTTAAACAGATTAACCAAAGCACTGTATTAATTTTATAAAAAGACAGCAACCACAAAACTGAATTATGCATGTAGAAAGCTATTCCTTGTGCCAATCCTCTACAAAGTCTCCTTCCCTGAGGTTCACTATTAGCTATATCTGTCTTGACAACATGCACTGTAACACCAAACTGTACGACCAAAACTGAACGGCACAGATGTCAAAGTATTAGCAACTATATTAGAGAAAATGTCATTTTGAAAGCAGTGTTTAAGGGAAATCTGGAATCTGTTCTAAGAGTTTTTATTTATCTACTTCATTCATACCCCGCCTTTCCCTGTGATGGGAACCCAAAGCAGCTGACGTTGTTCTCCTCTTCTCAATGTAATCATCATAACAACTCTGTTGACTGGCAGACAGAGCCTGAACCCGGACATCCCAAGCCCTAATCTGGCACTCTAACCACTTAAAGCACATTCAAGCTGACCTTCTTGTTTAATCCAGGCTGTCAACAATATTAGTAGTACGTAATCATAAAAACCTAATAAGTTTTAAGAGTTTCTTTCAGGCATAGATTCATAGTGAGGATATTTCTTAAACCAAGCCCACCGGTTTAGAAAAAAGAAGCTTATTATCTTGCCTCATTACCTAAAATGGATCATTACACATTAGGCAAGAAAGGAAGAGATGTCCCAAATACATTTCACAATGTGCTCTGATTTAAAAAAACAAAACAAGAAAACCCCTAGTTTGCACTATGAAAGTAGGGACAAGGTAGGTAGTTGTGATTTTGTGCCTCTGTGTAAACATGCAAGAACACTAACAATGACCAAAAGCCTAGATAGAACATTCCACAAGTAGGTAGTTACTATTCAGAACAGCTTTCCTTTAGGTACTGAAAAAAATTAGAGCACTTCCCACGGAATGTAAAGCATATGTAAGCCATGCAGAAAAATATGAGAAACTAAAGTGCAGATCTTTGGTTCTGTTAAAGTCAATGCAACTTAAAATTGCTTAACTTTCTCATGCTGTTTGACAGTTATAAATATTTAACCTTTGTCGTATTAACACATGATCTTTAATGTAATAGTTACAAATGTATCAAAAGTCAGATTCCCCCCCCCCTTACGTAGACAGATAGGCTTTAAGTAAACTTTAAGCTTTAGCTCAATTCTGGTACAAGAATATTGACAGCTATAGGAGAGGGAATGGGCAAAATGTGCCCTCCTTTTGCCACCCCTGATGCTGGCACATTATTTGTCACAGTGCATGTGGGGAGCAGGGGTGAAGAGAACACATTCCATTTGCCATCCTTGATGCTGGCAAAGAAGAATGACACCTGCCAGAAGTAGGGAGAAGGCCTTAATGACCATCTACACTGGCCCATCTCTACTGTAACCATTCAACTTCACAAACTGTTTGCAGCACAAGAACGTGGTAGCTCTCCATTTTCTACTCAAATGAGTTCCTGCTGGGCGTGGCCAACTTGGGAGCCAGCCGGAACTCCGTTCCTTTGCGTTCCTGCCCAAAAATAGCCCTGGTGAAGAGAACACATTCCATTTGCCATCCTTGATACTGGCAAAGAAGAATGACACCTGCCAGATGCAGGGAGAAGGCCTTAATGACCAGTCAGAGCCTGGCCCATCTCTACTGTAACCATTGTTTGCACCACAGGAAAGTGGTAGCTCTCCATTTTCTACTCGTTTCATAAAGCCATTAAAGGTAAAGGTTTCCCTTGCTGAAAAGCTAGTTGAATCCGACTCTAGGGGGTGGTGCTCATCTCCATTTCCAAGCCAAAGAGCCAGCGCTGTCCGAAGACATTTCTGTGGTCAAGTAGCCAGCATGACTAAATGCTGAGGCACACAGAACGCTCTTACCTTCCCACCGAAGCAGTAAAAATTTATCTACTTGCAATTCCTTGCTTTCAAACTGCTAGGTTGGCAGGAGCTGGGGCCAGAGATCCAGAATTCTCCATCCATTAATTGTTTAGGTATTTTTAAATGCTGCAAATTGGTTTTAGAATAAGTATTTTAAAAACTTGTTTTAATGGTTTTGATTGCCCACCACCTTGGAGACGCTAAGTTGGGTAGAAAGGCAACTTTAAAATGTTCTAAATTAAATTAAATAAATAATTGTGGCTCTGTTAGCCACCTTTAGCAAACTAGTGGAAAAGCAGGATATAAAACCAATGCAGCTCACATTTTAAAGCTTACATTTTAGTTTCATGGCATACATGTATAAAATTATAAATGTGCAGCTGATCTCCTGATTTTAGGTAGAAACCAACTGCATGATTTGAGCTTAATAAAATATAGGACAGACCCACGGAAATAGAACTATATAATCCAGAAGCACCTTGAAGTTTGCATATTACAACCAAGACAACAGTCTACTATCTTTAATGAAGCACTTTGTTGGCACAGCAATTTATTCCTTCCTTTCTTTGAAGAAAAGCATCTTGGTTTATTAAGCATATATGAGATTGCCTATGGCTTCCATTACAGTGTGATTGGATTCTACAATATATGAGTTTTGTCTTTACTATGTGAATGTGTATTTATACTTACGATTTAGGCTTAGCCACACACTCTACTAGGCTGTGTTTTCTGTTCATTTCACACATTTTGCAGGGGCGAACCCACAGCGATCATCAAGCTTCCCAGAGCATCCCCTCTTCTAGCTCACCCTGATCCTCCTGGCTTTACAACCCACCCACAAGAGAGTCATCACCCACTTTTGGATCCTGAGCCACGATCTGAGAAAGTCATCAATGGCTGAGCATCCTACAGGGCTGTCAGCCCTGATCCTGCAGTGGCTCCAACTCACAGGCAGAGGCTGCTCAGTGCTGGGCTGCCAACCATGCACTATGGTGCTGCTCCTGCACCTCCCTCCGGGCCTGCCTCCTCTGGCATCCCAAGGGCTCCGGCAACCGTGTGGGTGAGGCTGGCAGCTGCAGGGCCTCTGCTTCAGCTTCCAATCCCTGGCTGCAGGACTGAGAGCATAGCACGCTGATCGAAGTCTGAGCCTCCCCATCTGCACCTGATGGAGTCTTTACCTTGTCTGGTGGCCTGGGGCCAGCTTCCCCCACCCCTTCCTCATCCAAGGAGGTGTTGGCAGGCAGGCCCATGACACTGACATAGATTCCAAGGCTCCAGGCAGAGGCATCTCTCAGCCTTGGGCAGCAAATCCAAAGTGTCTTTATGGTTGACAAGCAGCAGTTGCATTCACATGTTTAGAATACAGGTGATACCTTAAATCCCAAGTGTGATCTTCCACTCACTAGTAGCCCTTCTGTCTTTCAGGATTAAGCTTTACTTTATTGGCCCACATCTACTCTAAAACTGCCTCCAAGTTCAAGGTTTTTACATCCTCCCTGCAGTCAGCTGGAAGCGTGAGATATTGTCATCTGCATATTGATGACAACCCAGCCAAAATCTCCAGATGACCTCATTCAGCGGTTTCAGGTAGATGTTAAGAAGAATAGATTGGATTTATAAACCCCACCCTTCACTACATGAAGGAGTTTCAGAATGGCTTACAATTCCTTTCCCCTCCCCTCCCTGCAGGACTGAGAGCATAGCACGCTGATCGGAGTCTGAGACTCCCCATCTGCACCTGATGGAGTCTTTACCTTGTCTGGTGGGCTGGGGCCAGCTTCCTCCACCCCTTCCAAGGAGGTGTTGGCAGGCAGGTCCATGACACTGACATAGATTCCAAGGTTCCAGGCAGAGGCATCTCTCAGCCTTGGGCAGCAAATCCAAAGTGTCTTTATGGTTGACAAGCAGCAGTTGCATTCACATGTTTAGAATACAGGTGATACCTTAAATCCCAAGTCTGATCTTCCACTCACTAGTAGCCCTTCTGTCTTTCAGGATTAAGCTTTACTTTATTGGCCCACATCTACTCTAAAACTGCCTCCAAGTTCAAGGTTTTTACATCCTCCCTGCAGTCAGCTGGAAGCGTGAAATATTGTCATCTGCATATTGATGACAACCCAGCCAAAATCTCCAGATGACCTCATTCAGCGGTTTCAGGTAGATGTTAAGAAGAATAGATTGGATTTATAACCCATCCTTCACTACCTGAAGGAATTTCAGAATGGCTCACAATTCCTTTCCCCTTCCCTCCCCACAACTGATACCCTGTGAGGTAGGTGGGGCTGAGAGACCTCTCTGAGAACCGCCCTTGAGAGAACAGCTCTGAAAGAACTTATGACTGACCCAAGGTCACACCAGCAGTTGCATGTGGAGGAGTGGGGAATCAAACCCAGTTCTCCCAGATTAGAGTCCACGCTCCTAACCACTACACCAAACTCGCTCTCCCCACAGGGGACAAGATGGAACCTTGTGGGATCCCACAGCAAAAGTCCAAGGGGCTGAGTAGCAGTCCCTCAGCACCACCTTCTGAAACCTATCCTCCAGGTAGGATGGGAACCAGCGCAGAATAGTGCCTTCCAATTTCAATGGAAATAGGCAGTCTAATGGGATACCATAATCAATGGTATAGAAAGCCACTGTGAGGTCCAGGAGAAACAACAGAGTCATGCTCCCTCTGTCCATCTCCCACTGCAAGTCATCCATCAGGGTGACCAAATTTGTTTCAGTCCCATAACCAGGCCTGAAACCAGATTGGAAGGGATCTAAACAATTTGCATCATTTGAAGGCTTAAACAAATGAAACCTCCATGTTAAGCGTCAGTGTACCACTGACGACCACATGACTAAGGAGGGTACCATTTTCATGCCCTGTTCAAGGACTCTCTGGAAGCATGTGACTGCCACAGATGTTTCAACTCAAGCACAACAATTATCCAGGTACTATATAACCTGTTTCTGCCACCTGGAGATTAAAATTATTGAAGACTGTGAGAGGCATCCAGTGTGTTACGGGTGTTTTACTACACTATGGATGTAAAGCACATCAGACACTTGGAATGAGCAACAGAAACTGTTGTGGGAGATCATCCAGAGATCTGAACTGGGTTGTCACCAATATAAGGGTGATACCTCACACTGGCAGACTCCAGGGATGATGTAGTTTTGGCAGTTCTGGGATAGATCAGGGTTCCCCAACCTTTTTGAGCCTATGGGCACCTCTGGAATTCGGATACAAGTTGTTAGGTGCAACCACTAAATGGCTGTCACAGGAGGTGAAGCCAACCACAAAAAGGCTACTGCAGGAGGTGGAGCCACACACAGAGGATACCTAAGTGTAGGGGACAAGAGTGGTAATTAAAAAAAATACACTGGGAAAGGGGAATGTGAAAGAGAATAAAACCAACACTGTTTTGGCAGCTGCCACCAAAACAGCCAATCCAATCTCCAGTGGCCAAACCGAGCCCCATTTGGCCTCATCCACTTTCTAAAAATGCTCACTAGGCGCCATGGCAGCTATGGACCTCAGGATAGATGCTAATAAACTGGAACTTAATCCCTACGAAAGAGATTTGCTACTAGGAGGTGGAAAGATTGGCTTAGGAACTGAATTGTCACCTATTCCAGATGGCATTACACTCCACAGATTGGGGCTTTTGCTTGTTGCAGGCCCGGAGCACTTTTCATCAACTTCAACTGGTGAGCCAGCTGCATCCTTTTCTGGGCAAAAAAGATCTTGCCAACTGTGTTGTATGTCCAGGAAACATTTAGATTAGATTTCTGCAATGTACTCTACACACAGTTGCCCTTTAAGGTAAAGGTAAAGGTTCCCTTGCTCGAAAGCCAGTCAAATCCGACTCTAGGGTTGCGGTGCTCATCTCCGTTTCAAAGCCGAAGAGCCAGCGCTGTCCGAAGACGTTTCCGTGGTCATGTGGCCGGCATGACTAAACACCAAGGCGCACAGAACGCTGTTACCTTTCCACCGAAGTGGTACCTATTTATCTACTTTCAATTTCTTGCTTTCGAACTGCTAGGTTGGCAGGAGCTGGAACTAGAGTGCCTGGTAATTACAATTGGTACAGAATGCTGCAGCCAGAATGTCAACTGGCGTGGACCATAGGGACCATATCACTTGGTCCGTCTACATTGGCTCCTAGTTTGCTTCTGGGCCCAATTCAAAGCACTGATATTGAGTTTTAAAACCCTAAATAGGCTGTGACTTGTATACCTTAAGCCTACTCCCAAATGAACTCCCAAGTGTATTAATTATGTTGGTTTTAAACTATTGTAAGCCGCCCTGAGCTGCCTTGGCGGGAGGGCGGGAGGGCGGGGTAAAAGTCAAATAAATAAATAACCTATCCACTCACTACAGTCATCTTCAGGGGGCCTGAGTCTGAAGCTAGATGGGTGGGAGGCTGAGAACAGGCCTTTTCAGTCATGGTATTAGAATTATGGAATTCCCTCTCCAGAGAGATTTGTCTGTCCCCCTTTCACTGTTTTGTGCCAGCAAATATTATTGTTCAGTTTAGTAAATTACAAGGTAATTACAGAAGGTGACCCCCACAAAAAAACAAGCTACAGCTTTCTTTCTCCTTCCTCAAGGTTTACTTTTCAAAAACTGTAACCCCTCTCAGCTTTGATAAGCATTAATAGTCAATTTCACTTTCAAGGCACAGCTGTGTTGTTCTGCTAGTTGCGTTCTAACCCATCCCAGACCTACAGTATATAAATAAACCAGAAATCAAGTGGCACTTTTAAGACTAATCACATTTATTCCAGTATAAACTTTCCTGAGTTAGACTCAGGAATCCTAATGCTGGAATAAATGAAGGAAAGGGATTGTTTGAAGTATACATGAGCTTTAAAACATAACTGATGTTTTCATGGCCATTTACCAGTCTCTAAATACAAGGGTTGTTCTGAGGATAATTTCTACCACCAATGAAACTGGAGCCCACACCAGAAGTAATTCACCAACAGCTACTGCAATTAGATCAAAGACAGCTAAAGCTAGAATCATACCTACATTAATCAAAGACGATTGAAGATGTCATTGTAAAACCTAAAACCAAGAGTTCGTGAACACACACACAATTTAATTTGTAAACCTCCACTAGAGTGCCACACACAAAGAGAAATCAGCTATATCCTTCCTTGCCTAGTTTGTTAACACCATCAAATTTTACCCTATTTCTAATGAAGCTGTCAGTCCTTACTTATTCATTCTTTCACACACATGTGCACAGGCCTACCCCCTAGTATTACTCTTCAATGTCATTATCTTCACGTACGAATTCCAACTCCCAGCATTTGGGAATGTATAATTAACAGGGAACATTATATATAACGAGCCAAACACTCACCCAGGAGCTCCCCGGTCTTATGCAGAAACCTCCAGCCCACTGCATGAGGCAGAGAAGCAAGACCCCCTCGTGCTAAATTCCTGCCTAGGAGCAGGTTTATCATCCTTCTACCACCACTGCAGCTCAGCCACAAGGAGGCTGCCATCTTTCTCCTCCTCCTCCGAACTCTAGGGCTGTCCTTCTCGCTGCCTGAAAAAAAGTATACTGACTCCCCCTACGGCAGCCTGTCTTTTACTGCCTGAACCAAAATACGCACCGCTACGTTTTCCGCGAGAGATTAATGACAAATATCAGCCCTATGTACTGAAAAGCCATTATCTGGATTATGATCGTGATTCGGTATGGCGGAAGCGGTAAAAAGCAGCTGAGAAATCTGCCTTTCTGAATCTAAAATAAGCTTGCTATATATATATTTTGAAAGGGACAAGGGACATATACCTGTAAGAGCTGCACAGCAGGCTTAAAAAGGCAGCTATAGCCTGTCTCAGCACCACTGCCATGCTAGGGAAAGCTATACGCCTTTTCTGCCTGTCGATTATACCAGGGCTCCATTCATTAAAAATGTGACAATACATCTGACTCCAGATTCACGTTTGAAACTATTAGTCACCATAAAGAGAAACTAGTTTGAGACACAAGCAAATGTAGTGTGCTTGTCTAGGATAAATTCCAAAGGGACAGCCATATTAGTCTGATGCAGCCCAAACAATTACGAGCCTTAAGGAGCAATCCTAAAAAAAAGCCTACTTGGAAATATATCTCAGCTTATTATCCAATATATCTTACTTCCAGGAAAGTGTTTTTTAGGATTACAGCCTTAAAGTGTCAGCGTCCTGGGACATTTTAACGAGGTCACATTTATTTGGCATAACATTTAATGAGCCTGAGAGGGTCTTCCCCACCCCACCCCCACCCATTTGTAGTTCCATGCCCAGAAGATGACAAAAAACCTCCAGAATCCCTAGGCGAACTGGCCTGGAGAAAAATTGCTTCCTGACCCCAGAGTAGCAATCAGCATTTCCCTGGGCATGTAAGAAAGGGCCACAAGAACTAAACACTGATGCAGCCCCTCCTGCCCTCTCTCTCGAAAAGTCTCAAAGCGCTTTATTATACAAAAAAAAAAAAAGTCTCAAAGCAGCTTACAATTGCCTTCTCTTCCTCTCCACACAAGTCACCTTGTGAGGTAAGTGGGGCTAAGAGAGTCCTGAAAGAACTGTGACTGGTCCAACGGCACCCAGCAGGCTTTCTGTGGAAGAGTGGGGAATCAAACCTAGGTCTCCAGATTACAGTCTACGGCTCTTAACCATTAACAGGCAGCTGTCAATCCTACCTATTTGCAGGGCAGCACCTTTAGAAGGCTTTGCTCATCTGAGTGAAGGTAACGCAGTAGAGCAGGAAAGGCTGTGTGGGTCCAAAGCCATAAAGGGTTGTGTGGGTGACAACCAAAACCTTACATTGAATTTGGTAACTGACTGGTAACCAGTGGATTGTCTGCAGGAAGGCATATTCTGCATGATGTACAATACTAAAAGGGATGCCAAATTCTGCACCACCTAGAGTTTCAGAATTGTCTTTAAGGGAAGATCATGTAAAGTGCATTGCAATGGTCTAGCTTCAAGGAAACCATAGCATGGATACATGTGGCCAGGTCAGCTGAGTTTTGGTAGAGGACCATCTTCTGGGTTAATTGAAGCCTAGTTGTGTGTTTAGGATTATAGCTTTAGTAAATAGACAGAAACCCTGTTCTGTTTACATCTTATCACTCTTCTAAACACAAGCAGGTTAGTAAAAGAATTGTGCTTTGTGTATGTTTGGTTTGACAGCACTATACAGAGAAAAATATAGGAAAAAAGTATGTCCAGGTTGCAAAGGAGTAGCCAAGTTAGTTTTGTGCTACAAAAACAGGAGAAACTGAAAGGCAAATGCCACTGTTTCCCCTTCAAGCAAGTGAATGCATGAAGCTCCCTAGGTGCTTGGGTTGCCAACTCTGGGCTGGAAAACTCTGAGATTGGGGGGGGGGACTGGGGAGAGGAAGGACCTCAGTAGGGTATAATGCTATAAAGTATCAGTTTTTAAATATTGATTTGATATCTACTTGTTGGGAATATTATAGTTGTAGTTCCAATGTTGGCAGGAGGTTGAGTAGATTGTCCCCTTCTCTGATGGTCCCTTCCAACTCTGAGATTAAGTCCACACATTCCAAACCAGGCATTTTCTCCAGGGGAAGTGACCTCTGTAGTCTGGGCCTGTAATTCCAGAAGATCTCCAGGTCCCACCTGAAGGCTGGCAGCCATATTGATTGCTGTGCTCCCCATTGTTTTAGAGATAATGTTCAGTATGATCACCCCTATTCACACTAATAGATGGTAAAACAATTGCCTTTTCACTGATTATAGGTATTTTTATTTTAGATTTAGGCATTTCTACTAATTTAGCACCAAAACCTAAGAATACTTATTTCTCCTTACCCTGAGTGCAAAGTAATTTGCCAAACAGCTCCTGTCCCATATATTAACTAAGATGTTTGCTTCAATATCTGCAGGAAGGTCTAAAAAGTCACTTCAGATTTTGAAATTCCATAGGCTCTGAAACAGAAACCAGAAATACGGACTATTCCCTAAAAGGAGGAGCTAATGAGAGAATATGGGATATTGAGAAATGATTTCAAATTTTTCTAATAAATTTTGAATTACCAATTTTACTTACATCTCAATAGTGATCTAGGTCTCTTATAACTAAGTGGTCAAAAGGAAGTGAAATCAGAACTTAATGTGCCATCAACACATCACACTTTTGTGGGGAGCAGTTCCAGGGTACCATTTGGCAATTATTTGCTAAAATGCACATCACACTTTTGTGGGTACCATTTGGCAATTATTTGCTAAAAGCCCAGTTGTTTTCTCTGGAAACTGTTAGCCACTATGAGCCTCTATTGCACAACCTTTATAACAGTCCCATCCCCATAGCCACAGAAACAAATTATTTTTATCTGTGTAATTTTCAGACATTTAAGCTTAAAACCACACACTTTCTCAGCATAGTATGGAACTCCAAAAACAAATAGAGCGCAAATGTATTATTTATTCAAGTGTCCATTTTACATTATTTTTGAAAATTCAGCCCTTTATAACGTCAGAAATCAGAAGTGCAGCTTTTTGGCATTGGGGGGGGGCGGGACAGACGGACTATAAAATTTCATAGGGTAGCCATATTCACTTACATCCACCAAAGTCTTGTGGCTCTTTAAAAACTAATTTATTTTGTGTACATTTTTTCAATGCCGTGTAGACCCCAATAAACTCAGTTTCAGGATGCTACAGGGCTGTTTCTTTAGCAACGGGAAAAGCCACACCTGTTAAAATTCCTACATGCCCTACTACTGTTCCTGTCCCAATTAACTCAACCAAATTTCCTTGAATCTATAGCTGCTAGCTGGAAGAAAGGTAGGGATTATTGTAATTCTGTTTTTGAACAAACGGATGAAGTTTAAGCGGAATTTTATTTATCTATTTCTACTCTTTAAGGTGCCACCGGACTTGTTTCACCCTGTCAAACCTCCCTCCCCAGATCACCATGGGCGAGATGCTCCCTCTGAGATGATGATGATGATTGCAACCTTCTACAACTGAATAATCCCAACAAAATACATTTCTTTGCCAGTCCCTCGCTAGTCGCTGTTCAGTACGCCCATTAACGTGCGTGAGCTCGTTATTATTAGCCACTCAACTAAAAGTACAACCCCCTGGTTCTCTGCCCGAGGGCAAAGACCGCCCTCCACAGCCTGGCCTTCTGCTTTGCTTCAGTTCCCCCGCTAAGCGGCTCAGGCTCCGCCCAACTCCGGGAGACGGGAAGGGCCCGGGGTCTTTCTTCTCTTTGGCTTCTGCGCCGACGCGGGAGGGGCCGAGAACCGGGACGAGCCTTCGGCTGCTTTAGCGTTATGGCTGAGCAGCGGCAGCAGCGAGATGAGTGCGCCTGTCACTGTGGGGACAGCTGGGATGGCGCAGAGGTAATGGCAGAGAACAGTTCCAGTCTCCGCGCAGAGAACATTAAAAAAGTGCTCTTGTTGTGCCAGACTTTGAGCACCTCTTTTGCTTTCTGCTCATGTGGAGACAGGACGTGAATTTTGTGCGTGTGTGCTTTATGTTGAAAGTAGCCCTTGGTGATGGAAATGGCTGAGGCTGGCTGCCAGTTTTCTAGGCAAGCAGAGCTTTTGACATCTCCACGGCCCGCAGAAGTTCAGCAGCCA